GTGAGTCTGTTGCAGGGACCATCTGCATTGATGGTCCCTGTATCTTTCTTCAGATGTTCTGTAGGCATACTGGAAGCATCCAAGTACTGGAGGCACCTAGAAAGCTGGAGAGTTTACAAAGTCCACCCCCTCAAGACATTTGGATAGAAGAAGAAAACAAACTGGGAAAAAATGGGAAAGAACTTTCTACAGTAATCCAGTCTTATTATCTGGAGACCTGTTCAGTCAATCTCTGTCATTTGAAATCCCTTACCTCAAATATTTAGAAATCCAAATGCTTAGAACATAAAGTACTTTTGTGGTAAAGGTCTTCCATATGTAAAAATTGTCCTGAGACACCACACCACCTACTAAGAATCTTTTCCCCTACTCCACAGCTCAGAAAATAAGAGAGGAAAATTAAGAAAGTCATTGAAGAATTACCAGCTGAATCAGAATAAAAATACCAGAGTTAGTTTATAGGTAATTATAGGCCTCTCATAAAAATGGTAAAATGGTGCTTGCTAAAAGCCTTCCAATTGCTACCCCAGATATTGCCAAAGCAGCCTATAATATAAATAAGAAAAGGTGTGTGATTCTAATTTTTTAACATCCTTTGGTCTCTTCTCTGAGCTGGACACGACAAACATTTTCTATTCTTATTGCTGGATACTTGCAATGATGGGCAGCTGGACTGATTATTAGTTGAGAAAGGTGAACATCCTGGAAACTCCTGTAGTTTCTGAGATTAAGAAATAATTAAGTCCCTGAAGCAATGAGGTGGGGTCTGGACTGGGATTTAAAGTTGTTGCTGCTATGGCATCTTCACATCACATCCCTACCTTTTGAGACAGATTCTTCTCTTTCCATGGATTGCAGTTTCTGAAGTTCTGTCTCATCATGAAAAAAGGAACTATAAATCGTACCAATTCATCAATAAATGTTCTCTTCTTCACAACGTGAACCCAACAATTACATCAATTCTTGGAGAACCACTAAGCTGTCTCAAAATGGAAATTATACACTCATTATTAAAACTGGTGAATAAAAGGACAAGTCTGAAGGGAAATAAACTATCCTCCTTAAAATAGGTAAGATAATAATATTAACACTTTTCAACCCCCTGTAGAATGTGTATGGTCCTACCTGGTAACACATCTTTAGCAGGAGTTCTGGCTATGTATGCCATACTTAAATTGAGCTCCAAAAGTGACAGCAGAGATCCTCTTAATTGTTGGTTACCCTACATCACCTACTCTTTTGCATCCATTCCCTCCATTTTTCACTGCAATAGGCATTCATATCTCAGTTCTTCTCATCCTTTTTTTCTTCCAGTAATGAGCTGTAACTACTTCCCAAGGCTGTCAGCTTTAACAAACAGACTGCTTTTTCATCAGACATCTCCTCCACTGCCCATGGTGCCTAATGGTTAGGGAGCTCACTCACTGGGACAATTACTTTAATAAAATTCTTTCATTTTTCCTGTATGAATCCTCTATCCTCTACCTGCCTCTTGTATCTACCGACTGCCCTAACATTATCTTAGATATAAACTCCTTTGGGAATGAATTAATTCTTTCTTATTATGTGTGTAGAGTGCCTAGCTCAGTACTATTTCATTGGGAAAAAAACCCCACACAAGGAAAAGTGTTACTTAAGTAATGCATGTCTTAAGTCACAGGCATAAAAGTAGTTAGGCCAAAGTTTCACAGTACTGGAGCATAAGATATAACTTAAAATACACTTAGAATTGCAAAATCTTCTGTAACTTTCCTGATGCAACTTTTAATTTCCAACTTGCAAAGAAAATCATGCACTTTGCAAGCTTTAGTAATATCGTTTGCTTGCCCTGGAGCAGAGCAGAGTGTTGTATTCAGTAAATATTTATAAATGAATGACACATTCTGGTTTATTCTTAAATATGAAATGGTCAAGTTTTAACCAAACAGCACAGTAAAAACAAATTTTTTTTTGTATTGCATTATTTATGATTCTTTCAGCCTTAGGGATTCTAGATTGCACTACATAAAGGAAGCTGATATGATTTCATAGTAGAAAAAACATCATTCTTATATTCTTGTTATGAATGAATTGCTCATATCTTCATTCTATGAACTGAATAAACCCCCAAGCCTATGTATTTTTTAAAATTAAAACCTAGGTGCTACCAGAAATTTCATGCTTCAGTACAAACAGACTTTGAATTTCTGTTTTACAAAATATCACTATGCTTAGCCCTAGAACAGTATGCATGCGTGCTTAACTTTAGACCTGTAAATGTAATTTTGTGTTAGTTTATAAGCAAAGGATCTGTCATGTTACTGCACTGTATTAATAAGTTTGTACTCAGTTCAGATTTCTTTTATAAAGTCACAAAGGCCACAAGATAAGAAAAAATATTTATGCAGTCTTAACTTTAAGTGATAGATACGTAATCAAAAAGATTATTGTTGTATTTCATTTAAATAGATCTGTGTTTGCAGATTCTGTACTTTAACAGTACAGAGAAATGGTGATCATTACAGGCATTGTTGTACTTTGGTAAGTGGAAATGGACTAGCACCTAAATGTCTACTTTTGTAATCTTTTACATATTTCTAATAGTTTGCTTTCAAACATTTATTCTGTAGATCTCTTAGGAAAGGAGAAAACCTACCTTTGCTTTAAATGTGCATAAATGGTAAGAAAAGTATCCTTCAAGTGAGAAAAGTCTGATTTAAAGGCATTGGAAGAATGGAAATCTGTTCCTGTTTCTACTTGAAAAGTAGCACAGACATTTCAGCTAATATGCTGTCTCTAACAGTTCCCAGTAAAAGTTACATATTTTATTTTTCAGAAAAGTCTCAAAGTTTTTCTTTGTAATTAAAAAATACGTTCTTTTCAGAGAAGTTTAAAGGGTAGCTTCTCTCAGGCAGGACACTTAAGCTTTTGTGTTTTGTTTTTCTCTCCTTGGAGCATGAATAATTTTCATGTTGCCATTTCAATAAAATAATTCCCTCCCTGTTGGAGTTATCTCACTTATTTACATAGTATATTATTATGTAGCAGCCATAATGAGTAGTTAATGAAACAATTCATTTCAACTGGTTGTCAAAATGAAGTGACATGGATTCATCTATACCTGACATAATACCCTCAGTTAATTGAAGTGAAACAACACAAGTGAATAAACTACAAAAAATTTGCCAAGTTATAGATAGCTGTGAACACACATAAGGGAAAGCAGTTACAGTTCACTTACAGAGAAATTAATGCTGATAAAAGTATGTTGATTAATGCTATAACAATTGCTGCAAAATAGAAAGCAGTGCCAAGTAAGAAAAAAACCAAAATAAATTATTAGATCAAAGAATGTCCATAGTTAGTAGTGCTGTAAACCCCAAGTATTGTAAGACGAGGCATGAATGAGATTACAAAAAGTAATGCCACAGTCTCAGAAGCTGTCTATGGGACATTGTGACTGCAGAAAATTGCCAGCTAAGGGCTGGCTGGAGGCAATAGCTTTACTTGGCTTAGGATTCTGAGATGTCATGGGGCAGCAGCTTGTTCAAGCTGCTGTCAGCCTAGGTTTGGATTGACCCAGCAGCTGGAGTTTGACACTTAATCATAGTCTGGAAGCTGGACTGGTAGAAGAGCTGAGTGCTCAACAGATTCCAGTGGAAATCGCCTGTGAGAAAGTCCTAGATTTCTGAAAACCTGGTCTCAGCTCATCTGACACTCTGTCCCCACCCAGCTTTCACCCTGTCTAGGGAATTGAAAGGAAAAGGAAAAGCTGAGTCTTTTATTCTCAGTTTTGCACGTTACACTGGGTAATGCCAGTAAATAATTTTTTAATTTTCAGCATTCCTCACTGTCCAACTCCCTCTCAAATTACAATATAAAATAAGCAACTGTAATGAACACCACGTCGCTGGAGGTTCCCTGGCCAAAATCAAATCTTTAAAATCTGAAATTTCCTTTAGCTTTCAAATAACAGATGCCACACTCAGCCTATACTCAGACTAAGGCATTTAACAGTTAACAGCATACAAATAATACCAACTATTTTATAAATTAGGATACAGTCAATCACAGCTTTAAATATCCTGATTTTTTGTCATATAAACCTACATGATCACCAACTAGTGTGTAGCTCACAACAGGCTTGACAAAAACATATTATAGAATTGATAGGTTTACAAGCCTCTCTGTAAAATAAAGCCACTTATTGAAGTGGCCACTTCATATAATGTCATTTTCAGCTCTGCACATAACATTCAGCCAATTCTTTCACTTCCTACATCTGGTTCTCAGTTAAAGGTTGAACTGCTAGAAGATGTAATGCATTCTGCCTGAAAGATAAAAACAGATGTCTTCACAACTACTAAAATACAGCATTAAAAAATGTTAACATCTTGCCCATCATTGTCTTGAGCTTTGAGAAGTATTATCCTTCATAATTTATCAAATATTTTAAAATTAGCTGAAATGTGAACAACAATTGTACATTTAGGAAGGTATGACAGTTACGTATTTTAATATGAAAATCTCAAATACTTAACTATAACAATAAAATAGGATTATCACATTTATAGCATAAATGTGTTTATTGGTGTATTTATAGTTATAATATGAGAGTTTATAATGCAGCACTTAATTTCATTAATTTAGATCTATTGGAAAATTCGTAAGTGATCCACAAATAAGGAAGAGGAAAAATACTCCTTTGACTTTAAATGAAGCTTAATGAATTCAAGATGTCTACACGGAATGGTAGAAGTGCATTGCTAGCAAAGTCAAATGCCTATAGAGCAAAAATATTGGTCTTTGTTGCAGTAGGTCTTTTCATGGAAAAAATATGATTTGTCCTGCCTTCCTCAAAAAATGTGTAAAAATCTGTTCAAAATCTATCTTTTTATCTTTGCAGATCCTATCCTTCTCATGAGATATATACAGATTTCAGAGTACATTCTACTCTGCAAAATCATCTCTAATCTTAAGAGAGCAACAATACAGCAGGCTGTTTCTGTCTTTTTCTATACCTGGGTAAATACCATGAGCAGGCCCTGGGGAGTGTCCCATGGTATTCTCTCCATCATCATGTGGTGATGGGGCTGGCTGGAGGGACTGGATTATGAGGCAGTCATTCAGGATGTCCTGGCCAAGCTCTGAGTTCAATCGCAACTGAAACACAAGAGATAGAAAAGGAGAAATGATTATAGCCTGGGCAAAAAAAAGGAAATAAATCACAGAAATCTTAAGACACTGAAAAATTACAATGAGGAAATGTTGAGGGGTTAGAGAAAGAAATGGAACAGAAGCAGAATTCTTCTCTTTTAAATCCTGGTTAATATTCTTCCATTATAGCAGGCATTTTTCAAATCTGAGGAAGGAAAATCTTCCAGCTGCTTAACAAGACTGTACCCAGGACAAGGGCTATTTGTACAGATAGGACCTTGGACAGATGGACTTGCATGTGTTCTCTTGTCATACACTGCAAAAGAGAGAAGTTTGTCCTGATTCATGGATAATGTCTGACATCTCTTGTATCAGCAGAGGGGCACTATAAAAAATACAAATATTTTCCTGCTGGTTTAGTGCCCTGAACTGGCTCACTGAAGGACCAGAAAAGCAAAGATGCTCATGGCAATGGAAACAAGTGACTGGGAGCGAGCAGCCAGGAGTAGTATCATTCAAGATGGTCAGGATGGAAGTGGTACCACTTTATATGGACCAAAGTTGTCTCAAGACCACATTGCTAAAGTGACTAGGACTGCATTTGTTTCACATTATGGCTGAACTCATCTGAAAGTGAGTGCTCCATCACTGCCACTAATCCCAGCTGCATGCATGGCCACTTGCCTGGTACCTGATCCATCAACAGCAAGCCTGTTTTTCTGGCTGATCCAGCAGAAAATTCCCTCTGTAAACAATTAATAAACAAATTCATAAAAAGAGCTTTTCTTTGGACGAACAATCTCACCCTGAGGCTACAATACAATACAATACAAATAAAAAAATACAATTAAAAAAATAATCTCAAAACCAAAATATGGAAAAGCACCCTGACACAAGGCTGTCCTGGCTGTAATGCAAAATTGCACCCTGAGTCTTCTGACAGATGGATGCTGCTGCAGGCTGCTGGGACTGATGCCTGTCCCAACCCCCTGCATGATGTTACTGTTATATGTAACAAAAATTTGCCTGTTCCTTACGGCCATCTCGGCCATCTTGGCTCACAGGCTGGTGCATTCATTCAAAAGTATGAAAAAGGAGGGTGTGTGCTTATATGCAAGTGGGCCACTGCAGTGGCTGAGATGCAGATAAATATCCTGTCCTGTCACCCATGCTGATGAAGAGGTAGTTCATGCAGCATGATGGACAGAAACCTGACCTAGTGCAGTAGGATTTGCTGCTCTCATGCATCAGAGTCCCAAGAAGCAAATTTCAAAGATGCAACTGAGGCTTCTCCTCTCTGTTTGGTGCCATGAAAAGTGAGCAGGTAACAGTAACTAGAACATAACCTAGCACCTCTAACAAATTCCTAAAGGGAGGAAAAGCAAGAAGAGAGAATTCTGTCCATCCTTCAGAAATGAAGAAAAAAGAGTAAGAGCACATGATTCTGAATGCAACTGTAGAAAGACCCATTACTGTGCCACAAGATGCTGATGATCATTCAAATGACTTCTGCTGATATGCATTAGGATAAAACTGTTGCAACAGAGTGGAGAGTTGGTCTTACACATCATAAGGACCTGAGGCCGGGTGACTCTAATAAGAGATACTACACAACCTATGATACCTATGCACAGACTGTGCATGCTGTAGATTATTCCTTCTCTTAAAAATTTAGTGAGTCATTATTAAGCCCAAAGGTATGCTACATTTGTGAGCTATATTTGTTATTGTGGAACTGTAGAGAGAGAGAGGGAAGCGGGGGAGGGGAGGGAGGAGAGAAAGAGGGAGAAAAGGGATAAATACCCTGACAAATGCTTTTCATTTGTTATCTATATTTACAACTTGCTATAAGTACAAATATTTCTTCCAGTGTAGCATGTATCTTTGCCTCCTATTATCCACTAATTATTCTGTTTTTACTGCTATCACTAGTAACATGTCTTTTTTAAGTGCATGTGAAATTAAATGCCAGATAGATCCAGATTCAAATTCTTGTCAGTTACATTATTAATGAGCATTATGTGACTTTAAATTTCTATGGAATCTAATATGAAAATAAATATGAAAAAAATCTGACTTCTATTAAAAAATCAGGGTTCTATCACACAGAATACAAACTTACAGAGGTTGCCTGTGTAAAGTTGTTTGTTTGTGCAGGTTTCTTTTTTTGTGAGTAAGATCACAAAAATGAATTTCTATGATCAGATAGCAGTCATATGGATGAAACAGTGAGCAGAACAAGGAAATGAGAGCTAAGGATGTATATATTAGTTACAAGCATTAAATAACAGCAACTGCCTATTTTATACTTTTTTTATTTTGCACTGTTGAGGAGGTTTGTTCTGCATTTGCAAATCCTTTGATACCGAGAACACATCTATCATGATAACCCATGCTGACATAAATTTTCTAGCTTGCCCAACAGTCAATGCTTATAAAACCAACCAAAACCCAGGATCAACAACAGAAAACCAAAAACAGTGAAACAAGCACTGGGAGACAGCTGTGATCTGATTTCTGGAGATAGTTCTTAATCCATGCATTGGCTATTATTGATTCATATTTATAACCACAAGGGCTAGAAATACAGATTTTACAAACTTATATAGACACATGCATACACATATCATAACACATAATTTTAGAATGGCAATATACGTATTTAACATACATATAATGAAATATTCTGAGCAAGGGGTGGGTATTACACTGATTTGTGCAACTGCAGACACACACTGCTAATTCAAATTGCCACTAAAAATACTACCACAGGCCTACAAACCTCACCAGATAATAGGTGCTGGGAATAACTTTACTCTCCTTTACTACAGGGTATGTATGCGAGTTGCTTTTTAAGAGTAATTACTGTTGCAGTATTGGAAATCATAGGGAGCAAGGGGCAGAGAACCTCTTCTCTACTCTATTGCTTAGCAGAGCAGGACCAGAAATGGGTAAGCTTCCTTTAGCAGAACCAGCCATTAAATCACAGCTGCTTCCCAAACCAGACAACTTCTGTAAAACTCCATTACCCACCATTACTGTTTGAGAGAGACAGTAACCATGCTTTGGTTGCTGGGTCCTCCTTCCTCTGCTATCTAAACCTCATACTCTGTGCAATGTTTTTCCAGATGTTACTTCTGTATCATTAACAGGGCTGGCATAAGATGTGGCCTTTTTGGAGCAAAACAGACTGTAAAAACCAGACTGGTTCAAATATGGCAGATTAAGGCATTGCTTTTTCCTGTAAAGACATTCAGGGTAAAAAAAAAAAAAACCACCTCTATCTCAGTCAAATATTGTTGCATATTTTAGAGAAAACTTTTAATAAAAAGTTTTAACTGAAACCAATGTTTTGCATTTTGTCAAGAGCAGGGAAATCTGAGTTACAATTTTTCTTTAGAATGTGAAGGAACAGAACAGACAATGAAAAAACAGATGATCTTAAAAACATGCAAATAAACCAACCATTCATTGCATCCATAAAATTTATCTTCAGTTAAAAAAGCTATAAAGGAGAAATAATAATTGACCAGATCTAATTGCTGCAGTCTGTTTCTTGCTTTGCTCTAAACAAAATGTATTTCTTTTCTGGCCTAGACTGTAGACTCATCAACCAGCTGTAGAAGACAGCTGTCACTCTTTTCAACTTCTGTATAAATCATATCCCAGCACCAACCTCCCAGGATTCTGGCTGCAATACCTTGCTTCCCCCATGATCACCTTGCTTCCCTCATGATCACTCAGCTGAGCACCAGCACAATCGCACTGGTACTGAAAACTTGCCAATCTATTTTTGAGAACTATAAGGTTAGGAAGTTACCTTGTTGAATGATCAAATCAGTAACTGACAGTTTTGCCATGCTGAGCACTGACATTTTGTGTGTGCTGTAATGTAGCCTAAATTTATGGCTGGCCAAGGTGCAAGTTAACAATCAATGGCTCAGCTCACTGATAACTTCTGGTATGAAATATTTGTTCTAAATAATAGATTTTCAAGTTTAATAGTTCAGTTGTATGGTAGACTAGTGAAGTTTTATATTTGAAAATCTGAGACATTCCCATTATCACACTGTGGCAGTTTTTTCTAATACACAAAACAAATCACCGTCAGTCATGATTTACAATTGTTTTACTTCTGTGACAATCAACTAATGTTTATCAGCTTTCAGAACAATGGATGGAAATTCTACTCCTGTACATTTTAGATATGATTAAATAATTACCCAAGATTAAATGTTACAAGGAGAAGTAATTAGAAGGGAGTAAGATTCTACATTCTTCAATTTTCAATTTCATTATATTTGAGTCCAAGAGCAGAGACATGCTGTTGATTTGATGCATGACATAATTCCAGAGAAAATGTCTCCTCAAAAGAAAAGATAATTTGTTTTCTATTTCTCTAACCAATGTGTGTTTTATCTGAGATCTGTATGGTTTTGTACAACCTGGCTAGTTTCTGCAACATTATTCCTGTTCAATAGAAATCGCACACCATCAAGCAAAACATCAGAAACGTGTGTTTATGAACACACTTAGTCAGAAGAGTAGTAGTTTAGGATTTCTCAAACATTACTAGTTTGTTTCCAAACCACATAAAATAGGATCGCAGTAACTTCAAAACCTGCCTATATGTACTTGGATTAACTCTAGTGATTCTTCAGCAAAGTCTGGACTCCTCCAGTCATTCAAACATGCCAGTTATGTCATGAAATCACAGCATTTTAAATCCTGCTTTTGTGATAACAGGCTTAATGGACTTTATGTATAATGTGCACCTACTAGAGTACTTCCTTATGTAAGGGAGACACTGGTTGTAGTCTATTTTGGTGCAGGTTAGATCTGTGTCTGCCACGTGTAAAACCAGCAAAACCGCCCTAAATACTGCCATGTTTCATTGAGAGGAATTGTTTTACATGAATTGTAATAGCTTTATAAATATGTTTCTGTTTTCATTATAAAGCTAAGGAGGAATTTCTGTTATTCACATAGCCTGTGTATTAAGTTTA